CTTTTCATTTCTGTACAGAAAAAACCAGGCTTAACTTTGTGAAAATCGCAACATCATCATTTTCGTGACGACATAATCCTTTAAGCACCCCATTCTTAAATCCAGAATTCCAAGCAAAGGTTAATAGTTAGCAGCGTGTTCGATCAGGAAATCAATACAGTAAACTAACCTTGCATAGCTAACTACGGCAGATCGGTTTTCATCCCTGCTTTCGTTTCAAATTAAGAAGGTTCTGGGATGAAATTTAGCTTCATTGTGGACTTGAAAGAGGACAATTTAATCATTTATACCGGTGGGTCAACAATTCTGTGTCGTAGATGTTGAGGTAGGCAGCAATCTGATACTAGTGTAGACGTAACACACTCAAGGCTAAACGTATTGCAGTCTTGCAATTTTACGGCTCCGAATATCTATGAACAATTTTTAAGAAACATGTTGACATGATAATTTTTTTTATCAGTCAGTCATCGCTGTGAGACTTGTTAACTTTGTACGGGCGATCTCATTCAGAGTTGAATTAATGCAGTTGAATGTAATAGTGACATTACTCAGCTGTTACTTGGAAAAGCCATTATGAAGAACGTTAAACAAACAAATAGAAGAGGAAAGGAGAGAGGAAAAAGTAATCCCAAAAAAAAAGGGAAAGGATCAAGAGCCGGATTAAAGACGAAATAGAGGCAAAGAACAAAATGAGTGAAATAGGTGTAGAATACCAAATATGGAACTGGAAACAGGATGAGATAAGTAAGATGAACTAGAGCTAAGGATAAATATATAATGAACGATGTGCCATTTAAAATCAGTAATATAAACAAAGAATCTTAGCTGAGTTGGGAACTTTCTTCCTAAGCTGAGTTTTAGTTTACAAAACTCTCGGAAATTTCAGGCATTTGTAAGGGGAAACTTTTCGCAATTTAAAACAGCCAGCGTGAGAAAAAGGAGATGCTTTTGATATTTCAGCTGTTATCGTACCGCAAAGTCATTTCTCAACGCGTAAAGACTGTCGGCATCACGGATGTTGAGGCCGAAAGAGATTTAATTTCAGATCAAGCGCCAATTCTTAACACACCTTCCAGTAATCCCACTAGAGCACCTGTTCCGGGCATCGCTCTTTAGGCGTTGGATGAAGGATAGGGTCACAAAGATATCGTGCATTCTGCCAGGGTTATCGAGCCATGCTCAAGGAAAATCTCGTAAGGCTGATCGTAGAATAAGCAAGGCATTTTGGACAACAGTTTTCTAGCTTACCCTTTCTTCAGTTTTTTTTAAAATATTATATTGAGGAAGTTTTACAAGATTTTTCAAAGCGCCTGTCTAATTAAACTGCCAAGATGGCACGGCGCATTGTTCCCAGATTTTCTTTTACTTTGTGGCTTACTTGCAGAGACTCTGTGGCAGCTTTCTTACAGAGGCTGTGCTAAGGAAGATAAATAGGCAGTTGCCTCAAAGAATAACGTCTTACTAACCAAGCACGAGGGCCGTATTGAGGATTATTAGCCCGAAATCGAAGCTTTAAGGGGCAAGCTTTGCGAAATTCGTGCAGACACGATCAAGGGCCAATATTCCCTAGTACAGCTCGCGCAAGCGATGTTAGTAAGTATTTTATTACATGGCGCTGGGGCAACCTTTATTGTAAATTTGCCGGCTTTCCTGAACAGAAACACATGGCTTATGACCACTTCCGTGTGGGAACGGTACGTATAGCAAAGTCCCGGCCAAGTAAGAACTAATTAGAACGCTCGGATTTACCTCAGGACTCGCCTGCCATACAGCAAGTTGTTTTAATTTTCAAGCTCGAGGTATTATGATTTAAAGTTAATTTTGTCTGTGCGCTTTTTTTGTTTGAAAATATATATCCTTGCAACTTTGTACCTCGTGCTTGCGTTTTTCTGTCAGAAATTAATTTTAAAGAAAGAGTCACTCATAATGGCAAGTTTGCCCTTTTTTTATGTGGTTGTGGATGTTAACTCAATCGAATTAGTTTAGCTTAGCTTACTAATTTTTCAAATTTTGACGTGCAAAAAATGTTAAATCGGTGTCAGTGGCGTTATACACTGATTAATTCGCAGCTTTAACATCCCGGGCAACCCACAGGCTTTTGGCTGTTGTCCGTTGAACCTGGGTAGAGTAGGAAATTTGAACCGGAAGTGTCAAGTCTTTCCAGTGGAATACTGGTAGTTTATCTTTTAACATAGAGGTACTTAAAGCAAATGGCTCAGAAGATAGCGTCTACAAGGTCTACGTTTTGAAGCTTTGATAGTTAAATCAATAGTTGGTCAACAATTAGAAAGTCATGGTCACTGATCTTGCCTTTTACAAAAGGTGTGGCAATCAAATGATATTCTCCAAGGGAAGATGACTCTACCGGCTGAGAGTTAAAATTTTGGCCATGGTTAACCTCATTCAGATCCACTGAAATCTGACACTTTGGCAGGGAATTTGATCATAATTTTGGCGCAGAGCGACAGGAACCAATCTTCAAAGGTTAAAATACTTGGGGCTGGGGGTGGGCGGATGCTGAAACTTTGAATTGATCAACACTATTGATTTCCTAACTGAACACGGTGCTAACTGCTAAACTTTGCCGGGAATTTTGGATTTAAAATGGTGCCTAATTGGATTTTGTTGTGACGCAAATGACGATGTTGCGATTTTCACAAAGTTCAGCCTGGCTTTTAGGTGCGGCAATGAAAAACCCTAAACTAATTTTTATATCCTCGAAAACAGAACTATTTCCTCTCATCATATGCTGAGCCTGATCCGATTCTGAGTTATACCTCACAAGGAAAATGTTAATTGAAAATTTTCTACGAAATGCGATTTTTTTTTTTGTATTTTTAAATATTCGTGATTTCAGAAGCGTTCCGAGAGCTCCCGTTGTTGACTTAAACCACTTCTAATCCCTCCGATTCATGTTTATCAACTTGATACGGCTTGCTTTACTTTGTGCTTTTCACGAGCAAAGTTCATTTGCGACTACTCGGGGCACTGATTTCTTTGTGGTTACTAACACTCGTTTTAGTTTTCTGGAGTATAAAGAAGCAAGTCTGAGAAAAAAAAAACCTTCCCATGTTTGTATGTTCACTTTATGGCATCTCTAACTGAAATATGAGGCTAGTCATTTTTCAGTCCATGTGCCACCTCTCACAGTCTTGAAAAAAAGGCGCCCATAACAATTCCCAGCTGTCTAGCTTCGTGCTCTTTTGTGTTACAACAGTAACTGTGATTTCTTGCTAACAGTACTTTGATGATTCTAAAATTACATTAAAAAGTAGTCGAAAGGGATGAAAAGACGATCTATCCAGCCTCAGTTAACACTGGCCTCTTCACTTAAGTATCTTGACTTGGAAAAAATTGGTGGTTTATGTTTTTTTCAATGATCCTTATGCTGGTAATTTGAAAAAGAAAGCATTAAAATAGTTAACGAAAATTTGTGGCTGCATCTCAGTTATGAGATATATAACTCACTTCAATCTTCTTGTAAAAAGTAGGGTCTCAGGGTTAGGGTTTGGGGTTTTGATGATTGCACTTTTTTGCAAGGTTTTGGGAAGTCAATGAGGTTATTTTATGCCATTTTGTCTGGTAAGATGTCCACATAAAAGGGCCTAAATTGCCTCTTTCAACAGTGACTCCTTTGAATTTGATTTAAGCATGAAAAAAACACGTGTAGATTCAGGGCTCTTGATTGGGATGGTTATTTTGATGTTGTTGTGATTGTTTTACACTTGGGTTGTTCCCCCATTTAGTAATTATACAGTACATGCAGCTGGTTTAACTTCAAGGGTGAATTGTATTTTTTAAAGGTTTGTCTCCACGTAGTGGGAAAAGGGCTGTCACTTAGGGACACGGGCTGAACATTTCCCTGGCTATTACGTCTGGGAGTCCAGGCTATTTTGCTTTGGGTTAGTTACAGGACTATAACTTAAGAAAGTAAAAAAACATCAAATATCTAAACTGTAAACAAAAATTTATATTTTACTAACAAAAAATCCTTAATCACCTTTCTAAGAATGATTTAGCAATTCCTGAGGCTTTGACTGGAAATGCACTTTATTAGGGTATCTGATTCAAAGAATTCCAAAACATTTTTCAGCAGAAATCAATTGTATTTTGTTTGTCTGCCTTCAGTGTTCTGTTATAATGAAATAATGACATTGTCAAAAACTTCTCAATGTCAATGCTGTACAAGAATAGGAATAGTAGTTGCTTAAGACTAAACCCCTAGCCCTGCCTCTTCCCTTCCCTGTCCCAAATTGTTTGGAACTAGAAACATTTTGTATCCAGCTTACTATTTTCATTTCCCTGCCAACTTGAAAAATTAGTGACAGCTCTAGAGGGGCAATACTGCTTTGGCCACCTGCCTTTCACTGCTTTATCAATTTTACAATATGTCATACTCATCCAGAAGAGGTGGATAACGCTTCTTTCTTTCAAGATCAAAGTGATCCTGAACTCAACATTCAGCAAGTTGCAAAAGCATTGTTTTGATGTTTTGTTGACTCAAGATGTAAGAAAGTCGTCCTTGTTTTCTTTTGTTCCTTCAGGGTGTCTTTTGCACTACTTGCGGCACAAGTATAGTAGCCTTCAGCCTCCTCAAATGACAGAAATGGTACGTCAAGTGGCATCAGCCATGATGTATCTGGAAAGTAGAAACTTCATTCACAGAGATTTAGTAAGTACCTTCTCTGTTAACATTGTGGAAAGGTTTTTTCATTAAATATTAGACAGTTTCAATTGGCGTTGCAGGACTTTGATTAATTTGATTTAAGGACTCATTTTCATTTGAATGGCCAAATTACTTTTCAAGAATTGTATCACAGGAGCCCTGTACTTTTCTTTTTATTGTTTTTCTCTTTCGATTTTTAAAATCATATCATGTAACAAAAGCTCTTATAGTTGATGTCGGCTGTGAAGAAAATGTAGAATATGGGCTTGTGTCTGCTTATTACCGCTTATGTACACTTACTATTACATCTACTTAATACAGGTTTCAATCCGGTTAAAAATATATACATATTTGAATTTATTATATGAATACTGAGAAGTATTGTTGTTTATTAGGCAGCAAGGAACTGTCTTATAGGAGATAACGACATCGTGAAAGTTGCTGATTTTGGTTTAGCAAGGTAACTGGCCTTGCCTTTGGTGTTGAAATTCTCAGGGGCCCATAAAGTAAACTTTGTTAGAAGTCTTTATCATATCTCACCCGTACGGCCCTGCACGCGTTAGTCCATAGAAAATCATAGTGAAAGCTGTTGTGTGTAGGGCCGGACGGGTTGACGTGGTCCGGTCAGGAAAAAGCCGTCCGGCCCTGCACACAACGATCTTTCCGCAAAAAACTTAAATGAACCAAAAAAGGAAACAATAAAAAATCTCGTTTATCGATGAATTATGTGCTTTTATTATTCTGACTCGGAAAGTCAAAGGAAAAAGGTTTTTTTTGTTAATTGTAGAATCTTTTTCGTAGTAGTCCCGCAAACGCCCGCCTGTCGCCTACTATCTAGGTCGAAACCAAATTTTCGAAATTTTCAACATGTAGTTGTCATGTAATAAAAGTAGCCAACTTAAGGTAATCTTGACTTTAAAAGGAACATGTTTTTATTATGTTTTAAGGATACGTCATCGAATGCAAACACTTATGTAAACATCTTTTAGTTTTATGCCTACCTCCAACCAAAGACGGTTATGTTAACTATTGCAGAAATCTTTTGTTACCGGAAAAATTGTAATTTAGACCCTACAACGTTTACTCAATTATCAGTAATGAACCTCTTGAACCTCATACCATGTGGGACAGAAAAATTATCCAGTGGTTAATTGAAAGTAATCATAATAAAATTAACTATGCTAGGTTTATGAGATGGTCATCACCCAGGATATGTTCTCTAGCCGCCCCATGTTATCCTCTGAAGCTTGATTACTTAGTTGAGTGTAACACCTAAATTTACCCGAGAGTATTCAAATACGTCAGTCCTTGGTTTTATTCGTCCATGAGCATTGATTTTTTTTTATTTAGCGATGTTACGTTGGTAATTCACAGATACGTTATTGATGATGAATACACAGCATCAGAGGGGACAAAATTTCCAATAAAGTGGGCATCACCAGAGGTCATTCTTTACACCAAGTTCAGTAGTAAATCAGACATATGGGCTTTTGGTAAGTGTATATCTCCGGAACTGGTGCTCCATCTGTTTACTCATTATTTCTTCATTCATTGATATCTATTCATTCATTCGTGAAAAGCTTAGAGTGTGCACTGCTGAAACTACACTGAGAAGCTTCAAAATAAAATAGCTGGTAATTCCACTTAAGTTTGAAAGTTTCCTGTTTGCAAAAATTTTGAAAGCAGGTTTTTGCCTTCGCAAATAACGGACGGGTGGGGAAAACTTTGATAAACTTTTTCTGGGAAAGGCTTTCCGGGGGGCACTCGCTGGCTGCGGGAAGGTCGGGATCTATTACGGCTGTCGACTATCCTTAAGACAATGACTAACAGCAACAAAGTTGGCTCCAACGTAGATTTATTCTGTAAGCACCACTAAGCAGACTGGTTTCCTTTTTCACTATTTTCCGACCCTCGGTACTCCCAAAGAAAGCTCTATTTAAGCATTTGGTATAAAAGATTAGGTAATGCTATGTATTATTTAAAGGATCACGTAATCTAATACAACGACTGGTTAAGTAGGAATTTCCCCTTTTACAAGATTAATTACTTTCAAAAAGCTAGGGTGGACAACAACTACACAAAGGTTCATGACAGGTGACGGTTACAGTTTAACAGTAATTACAGATATGATCCAATAACAACTGTTTACGACTGACTGTATTGAGACCGGTATCATTTACGCATGCTGAACTTGGCAAAATCTCGCAGTTTCTACGTTGAATTTTATATATTTTTAGCGCTAGCATACAAACTTGATAACTAAAAATCCTCTCGTTAAAAAAAACACGACCAGATGATCTAAATTTGTAAATGGCAAACAAAAATGTATCTTTATTTCTGTTCCCGAGAACGAAATGTTTTTGCGACGGAACATATTGCGTTGTATTGGAATCAACTACATTAGGTTGGTTGGATTTTTCTCACGCTCTATTACGGGGAAAAAAACTGTTCTCTGCGTATTGGGTGATCAACGTTTTCAACCAACATCAAACCAGGTTGAAACGGATGGAAAATCGTTGGTGGTAACTGCTGTCGTTTGTTGCGATCTTTGTTTACTAGCCTCGATGTTTTCAGTAAACAAAAACAAAATGGAAAGTTGCTCGTGCTCTTTCAATGCGCTCAATATAGAAGTAATGGAAAAATTTGTAAGCATGCAAATCGGAGAAAAGCAGCAGAAATCGCGCAACACTTCGAAAATTGGCTGCCCTCTGTGTACCCTGAAAGTGAACACCGATAAGTCTAGTTATGACCATTCCCAAGAGTTACCGCGTTCGACCGAAAAATATTCAAACAGTAAAAAACGATCACTGAAGCAAAGTAAAAGCTGCCAACTCCGAAGCAAATGTCCCACAAATACACGACAAACATGATCTCTGTAAAACGGCTCAGAGAAGCTCGAGCTGTTTCCTAATGACTGTCAGGGAATTACAAAAAACTATTAGGGGTCAGCAATACCAACCAATCCCATCCCATTCAGGGGAGCGGAAGGAATAGGAATACTCCATGGCGCATGATGTCATGAAACAGAGATAAGCTTTTTTAGGGTGGGCAATTCGGCGCGAGTGTAGACTCTACCTTTAACCTGATTCTGAATGACCCTGGGATGCGATTTTTAGTTAATCTTTTGTTACGACTTCTATGTTAGCGTCTCATAAAGAATTCAACTACCCCACCTCAAGAAATGGAGAAAACTATCCTGGTGGAAGTTAATTTATTAACTTTTGTAAAAGTTAACTTACTTTAATTTTTACATATGCTTCAAATATCCCTTCTTTGTTAATGAGAAGAAGTCATCTAGCATTATTGAGTTATAATTTCTCCTCTGTAAGGTGTATGTCAATGTGAAGCAGTTGTTGGGATGGGGACAATTCTTACCTGCTTTGTGGTGTCATTACAAATTGTGTGACTAGTTAGTTATTTAAAACAATGCCACCCTTGTTACAAGATGCGTAGATATTATTTCGAAAATTAATGAGTTCCTACAAAATATTGTAAAGTTTGTCCCTAAATGTGCTTGAATAATTTATTGCAAGGCATCCTAACATGGGAAATATATACCGCGGGAAAACAGCCCTACCCTTCCGTCAGTAACACAGATGTAGTTCAAAAGGTTTGTACCTGATTTTCTATGTTATTTCATAATCAGCCTAAGCTGAAGGGAACTCCATCTGTTCAAACATATTTGTGTATTTAATGATCAAGTGGGAGGACCGGACGGGAAAACATTAGAGATCATGATGAATGCATTGTGTACAGGTCCTTACGTCATGACAAAGCGGAACTTCTTACTTTTAGCTCGCATTTCTCGGCTTTTTACGGTTCTGCTTGCGTTATCGTGTACAGCCCTATAAAGTATTGGGATTTTTCGATAGAAGCTTGAAAGGGGAGGGAGGGATGGGGGGGACCGCACAAGCGCACAAGTTATTTGATAAAGTTGATGACCAAATTTTTTTAAGGTGCTTTTGGTGTATGACAATGGTGACTCCGCTTGTGAACAAAGCGTGGAAATGTCCCTCCTGTTAGCATGTCAGTATTTTGTGTTGAGTCAGACCCAAATTTACAAGAGAAACAATCTTTCAGGAACCGCCAAATCCATACCCTAATCCATACAAAGAGGACGTCCGTTGCATTTTTTTCTTCAAGTGCTTAAAAAGTGTCCAGATGGTAATCTTTCATTAAATGTGTTTCGTTATATTACTCCCCATTTGGTAAAATGTGTCGTGAATTAGAGAACTTCACCTTCCGATTTGAGGTACTTGAATTTGTGGTTGAATTTCTTTCTAGGTCATTAATGGTTATCGTCTGCAGAAACCCCATAGGTGTCCCGATGAGATGTACAAAATAGTAGAACGATGCTGGAACGCGGTACAGTCTTCTCGTTATTCTTTTTAACCTCTACACCCCACTTTTCATCACTTCAAGAACTGATATACCATCAACGGGATGTTTTATTACATAGTAGTACTTAACAGCAAAGTTTTCTGTATCAACTGTTATTACTCCACTGTCACTCCATTTTATCATATTAGGGCACTGAAACGCGCAAAATATATACGCCTTGTTTGATGGTTTAACATTTAATTCGTCCGGACATTTTGCATGTTGCGTGGTGTCTTTCCAAGCCACGTAAGCGCCAGGAAAAATCGTAGAAATGAGTAAAATGTCCGCTCGTATCAGATGTTAAATTATCTAATAAAGGATTTGATACTCCACTATTATTTAATTTTCTTTTATTATAACTTTTTGTTTGCGAAATACTTCCTACGGTCTCATCTTTCCGATCGCACAAAGCATGCGCGAAAGACGAAAACAAAACAAACGAAACCGTAAGAGTTGTATTTGTTACCGACTTCAAAATCTGATAACCCTACCTTACGATTCCAAGCCTAAAAGACGAAAGGAAAATCACCAAGTTTGGATCGTTTAGTGCGGATTATTTTGTTGCTCAGCTTTCCATCCGTATTTTCGCCCTGTTCTACAGTGTAATACTTTGGCATATTCGCGCGTTCTTTTGCCCTAATATGGTAAACTGGCGTAGTAATGGAATTATAATAATGCTGTAACTTACTTGAAATGTTACTTTATATCATAGGAACCAGAGCAGAGACCTTCCTTTGGAGCAGTATACAAAAACATTGTAGACTTTGTGGGGGAAGATTACGATGAAACTGTTGACTGAGGTAGAACCTTGGCGATTTAAGAAATTAATGGCACTAATGCTAAGTGGAAATTATCAAATTTAAAGGGAGAACAGAGTAGTAGTACGACTCTGTCAAGTGTTCTTGATAAGTGACCTGAGGTGAAATCTGAAAGTCAGGTTTTGTATTGAACTAGTAGGTATCTATGTATCAAATCCCAACAAACTTTCCTTTCGAATATATGATGTTTACTCAGTTTTTTCACTTTGATCGAAGTTATGTTTTACCCCTCAGTTATACTGTTTTGTTGCGATTAAAATAAATTGAAATTCATACATATATATATATTTACATATATATGATATGATACATATGTAGTTTTTAAAAATGGAGAATTTAAACTCGAGTTTCACTCATTAAGTTATCGTCAGATTGAAGTTTTCTTAGCGAGCAGAATTGTACGTGAAAGTTTCAAATTTCAAATTCAGTTGCGGTTTGAAAATAAGCAGTTACAATAACGCTGATGAGAGAAACAACATTAATTAGTTTGCAGTTCCTAACTTTCCCAGTGTTTCTGTCACGAGTTCCTCATAATGTGAACAAATTCTTTATAGAAAACGTTTCCAACTGAGATGGGATGATAATTTTAAAAAAGGAGAATAATGCGCAGAAGGTTTTTTATCTTTTTTTTGTAATGTCAAATGATTTTTATACAGAATAATTTTAGACGAGTCACTAGACGGTAGGATTTTGAGGAATCATTCCCTCTGGGAATTTTTGTATTTTGGAGAAGGAAACTTCCGATGAAATTCTTGAAATTAAACAATTAGTATGTGTTCCGCATAACCTCTATCAATTCAATAGTTGTGAAGAGACCTACGCCAGTTACTGACGAAGAGAACGTGGCTGAGTTGGGTAACCAAACATAATTATTGTTTAATAATTTAGACCGATTTTGAAATAAAAAAGAATTTTTTAATGCTTTACACTTCTGGAGATTTTGATTATTTAACAATGATGATCAAATGGTTAGTGCCTCATGTGAAACTCACATAAAGATATCCCTAATTACTACAAAGGCACATTTAGGTTACTGTAGGTCTTTAGGGGTGTGTGCCAGAAAATCGTTCGCATTCGCGTTGCTTTTATCAGAACCTCTGATAACCTTGAGTACATATTACCGTAAAGCTGATAAAATTCACGATTAAGTCAGTTCGAGTGAGTAGCTGCAGGTGGAGAGGTCCACATTGAAAACAAAATTTTATTAATAGGAAGCGTGTGTGACCATACATTCAATTTTTATCCCCTGAGTTTCTCACATTTTCGTACAATTCAGGAATAATCGTATTCGTATTTTCCAATCAGCCTATCGCTGACCCGGCCAGTCACAAATCCCTTACCCGACTATTCCCTGAAATGAGCTCCACTCCTATTCCATTATTACAAATAATTATTTAGAAAAAGATTTGGGTCGATGTTAAGGACGTGCAAAATTAACCAGGTTTGATAACTTGAATTACCTACCTTCGGGTACGCACGCACAACCCGATAAACGGAGCAGTGTCACACTATTAATTCACTCAGAGTTTGCGAATCCATTCAAATATGAAGCTAGAGTTTTTTAGCCCATAACGATTTACAAGCTACCACACCATCAAAGCAGTTTCATGGCGTTTATCCGAAACAGAGGCTTCGGACTCTTAAGGCTCCAAACAAGACTAACCAGTTGAAATTCGTAGAAAATGCCCATGTTTCTATAATTACGTGGTCATATGAGGAAGTGTGGTCCATCCGACCCGAAGGGAAAGAGCAGAGACTTAGGAGAAAGCAGCAGCGAAGCGAGAAACCAGTATCGATCTACCGGCGATCCCAAAAAAAACAAACGTGACTGACTATGACTATGACTATGACCGATACTGGTAGTCTAACTGTCATGAAGCATATATCATCTGATATGTACCTCTTGTCAGTGTTTGCTGCGAAAGCGATCTTATTTATAACCTGAGTGAACATTTCATTCTTTTTCGAGTTATACAGTTCATCTCACGAAGTTGAACTTCTTCTGTCCAGAAAGTATTCTTGACGTCTTTGAAACGAGGTGAGTCACCTGCATGTGAACTGCCATAAGATTCTCATCGAAGATTTTGGTGACCGATTGCCTGTTCTGTCTGATAAATCTCATGACCACTTTATTCCGTATATTCTCCATTGTCTTTCCAAATACTGAGATGCCTTTCATAAGCCTGTAGAAGTCTTTTTCAAAATCTGATTTGGCACCAGTTCTGAGTTTTGTGTTTAAGTAGATGTAAGGTTTTAACCGGGCATATGGTTTGAGCTTGAATTCTCGATGAATCATCTTAAACTTCATCCCAAAGTGTGTGTAATTCTTCAAGTTTCTCGAGTGAAGCACACACTTCTCTTTAAAATGAAAGTTCGGGATGAGCTTTTCAACTCTGTCAGTAATCAATCTCTTAGGAGCTAATAGATAGTCATTGTGAAGACTAGATGAAGATGGTCAGGATATTCAAGATCAACTTCAAGCATAAATCCAACGTCCGAGTCAGGATCTGCAAAGTCTTTCCAATTCTCAAGTTCTGCGGGAGCATCCATCCATTCGAGATAAAGAGGTCGAAAGGTTTTACTCATTCTCTATCAGTGCAGATCCTTTGCATCGAGATACGTGATGAAAGTGCTTTCTTCCTCAGGGTTGAAGTCTTTCATATACTTAGTATTCGCCTTTGCATGTCTCTTTGAAATCATTGAAACTCCTCTTGGATTCTTTTTTCAAACATCAAAATCCCTATGTCAGGGTCTGTTAGAAGATAGAGAAATACTCCCGTCTTCTTAAGAGCTATGTCCTAAGCCAAACTGATGCTGTGAAATACCATGCTAAATAGAGCTTTTAGTTTTTCATGCAAACCTTTCTGAAGTTTTGAAAAACATCTTCCAAACCTCTTGAGCGTGTTTGTAGTCTTCGTCAGTGATGTGTTCATTATTAAGCTTTGAAAAGAACTCTTCCTTTGGTGGCAGGTGTGTGGCTTCCATCTTCTTGAGTGCATCAAATTAATCATATGGAAACACTCCTTTCCTCGACATCTTATTTATATTATCAATGTACTTGTTGAGGTGACAAATGTCATCTTTGTGGAGATTAGAAACGAGGGTGGCGGAGCGATGGCTGCATGAATCTGAGGCTGTCAAATTTCACATATCAATCGACTTCACTTCTCCATCTTTTCCAATCTTACTAAATCTGTCAACAACTATCTTTGTAAAAGATATGTAGTTTTCTTCAGTTTTCGCTACGCAGAAATATGTCACTTTGTGGTTTTGACGCTTCTTGTCCACTAGTTTTTTAACTATTCCGATATCGAACCCGATGGTTTTCTTGATTTCATCTAAACAACCTTTCAGAAGTTCGTCTTTTCCTTCTTCAACGTCGTCTTTATGTATTACGAGACCATCAAAAACAAGGCTTGCTATCTTACGTTATTTTTCTCAAGGTATTTGCACATGATAAGTGATTGATTTTGAAGATCACACATGATGTGATTCACAACTGATCCTCTTATATTATGATAATTCTCTCCCTTTGTTTCCTTCGCCTTTGAAACTAACTATGGGTTGAATTTTATCATTTCCGTTTCAATTTTTTTCATCTCTCTCTTGTATTTGATGAACCAATCGGGATCAGTTTTCTTCTCCACTCTCTGTCTTCCATTTACTAATGCTTATAGTTCTTTCTTTGCATCTCTTTCCTCATTTGAAAATTCTCCATAAATGATTTCAGCATCTCTTCGTGATTCTCTAGGTAATCATTCAACGTCGGAGCCAACAATCGTGGATTTCCTTGTTTCTTGTGAAATTGTGTCTCACCTTCCTTCTTACTCCTTGAAGTGATGAACAATCAGCAAAATATCTTCTTTTCCTCTTTTTTGTTTGTGACTGTGTGTTCTCCTTTTTCATTGAGCCCTCCAAGATATAGTTTTAATCTTGTTATTTCTCCTCCATAATCCTAAACTTTTACCAATCAGAGTTTTTTAATTCTTAACGATGTATTGAGCTTTTCTTTGTCTACTTTCTCTGGTAATCTAATTTTTCTCTCCTCAGGTTTTCCCGATCCCAACTCCTGTTCGATATCATAATGTTCGCCAAGTTTCTTGATGTGAGCATTATAACTCAAGAGGTTATGAAAGATGACAGGAATTGTTATGGGCCTTGAATTTTAGATCACATCGGTTGTGGGCCGCAGCTGGCAATCTTTAATCGCCTTGGCGACTCTCAAAGCAAATTTCGTAACGGGCGCTTTACGAACGTTTGCTTCGTTACCGGATGTCTTCACGCAATCTACGTGCGAGTATTTTGCTCATAAAAAACAAGATTAAAGTCTTCGTTTGATAGATGTTATGCCTGAATCATCTTCGTTGCCGGCTAACAACAGTCATGGCAAGAATGACTCCAACTTAAAGCATAGTACTTTCGAGAGAAAGGACGAGATGGTGCCTCTAACTGAGAAAGAAATTAGGAGTCTAACCATTCCAGCACTGAAAGACGAACTTGCTAAAAGGAATCTATCAAAAAAGGGAAACAAACAAACTTTGGTCTCCCGATTGAAGTCATCTTTTCAAAGTACCCGCCAGAAAACGAGTGCAGTTTCTGATCAAACGGATACTTCGCTACTGTATAAGGCAAGAGACGAAACCAACAACTTAGAGAATTGCCCATGCTTACCACTTCTATTAGATTTACAGAATGAAGTGAAAGAGCTAATTCTTCGCGGCAAATTTTGCCTAACCTGACTTTTAATTGTGAGCTGACAAAGCTTCAAGATGAGAACAACGCCTTAAAACAGAGACTTCATGACGTGGAAGACCCCTACTACTCTTTACAGTGGCGGGGGAGACAGGGGGGTCAGAGTCTCCCGCTACCCGTACCACGTTCTCCCGCCTCCCGTACTTTTGTGCCCCTTTGCCTCCCGACTCCCGCCCTTCATTGTGTTGCTCCCGTCTTCAGGTTAATCAAGAGGATCAGAGACCTGGGTTTACTTTCAAACTGTGCCGAAACTTAACATTCTTTTTCATTTTCTGGCCTTTGTTTTGGCAGGGGGATCGTTGGTTCCCGATGAAAGTTACTACAGGTCAGTTTTCTTAATTAAACTAAGTTTCACTAACCGGTTTATCACAGTTTGACCGTCGCTTCTGACATCTCGTTATAGAGATGAAAGTTTCAGTTCACTGTGTAAAGTAATAGCTATTACTATTTCAAAATCAAATTTAAAAAAAAAAAGAGGCAGACGTAATGTTTAGAGTTTGCTTCTCCTGTATCCGTGCTTGCTTTCCCTTTTTGACGTAAGTAACTAGTCGTAGCGAGTACATCAATTGTTGAACCGTTTGCATTTTGAGCGTTCAGTTTAAGTGCTAGTGAAGCATGACTGAACATTCTTGTTCGACTGATTATCAGATTTGTTCGATAGGTTGAAATCTTCTTTAAACCTCTGCGGAAAGTTTTAAGGTCAGAAGAAGTCTTCCATGCCGCGCCGGGAAGACCACACTGAACTCTTCCAACTCCAAATTTTGATTAGAGCCTCTTCTTCCGCCGAGTCAAGATAACTTCTCGATTTTCTTCAGTTTCATATGTTTTCAAATCACATTCGCCTCGACAGTCTGAAAGCATCTTGCGAATGTTTCTCAGAGAGTTCGAAGCGCCAGTTTAATAATCGAGAGAAAATTGGGGCTGACAAGCCTACACGACTTCGTAGTACGTCAAATTTTCTGTATACTTGTTACAAGTGTTAAAGGCTCACACGGCTCCAAAGGATGTCGGTTTTCTTGCCTTCGTTATAATTTGCTCTCACGAGTATGTCTTTGAGTGGACGCCCCTTTCTGTATGATACTTTAAGTCGTTCCAGAGCGGGCGGTGTCTGGTATCGAGAGGTTGAAATCTTTTTTAAACTCCTGCAGAGAATTTTAATGTTAGAAGAAGTCTTCTATGCGCCGGGAAGGCCGCCCTGACCTCTTCCTTCCCCAAATTTTGGTTATAGCCTCTTCTTCCTCCGGGCCAACATAACCTCCTTGATTTTCTTTAGTTTCATTTTTTTCCAAATCACATTCACCTCGGCAGTCTGAAAGGACCTGGCAAAGTCTTTCTTCAGTTAGCTCTAAACGACCGTTTAATAATCGTATCGAATCTTTACCAATTTCACAAATAACTCCACTTTTCTTGTATTTTGCTTCTTCGCTAGATGTTTCGAAGAGAAAAGAACTATTATCTATGATGATGATGCGTCTATCTTACGTGAAATGAAGATGAGAAAAAGTTGGATTTGGATTTGATTGCGTAAATTTCAGTATATGATGACTGATACGTCTTGTGATCATGTCCAGGCAAGGGCACGGGCTCTACATCGCTTCTATAGCTATTGCCTGATGGATGCATTGATTTATCTGCCTCCTTTTCAAAACTCACGGCCTTAAAAAACTCCTGTATTGATGTGAGAGCTTGTTCCTCGGTGCTGTCGTTCGCATCCGCCGAAGTGTACATATAGAAGGGGAGAGTGCCAGCTTTGTCTTTCGTGAAAGAATTTCGCACGGACTGTTGCCTGACCCCTCGTTCAAATTAATTTCTCCAATCGTTAAGGCGTTTGATGTCCTCCTTATTCAGGAACGTAATTGCCTCTTGTGGCACCGGGAGCAAGTCTTCGTACTTGATTGAAAACTGTGATGGTAGCTCATAGTGTTGTTTCTCCCGAGTGAAGCAAATATATCCAGGCCGAGAAATTCTCTTTAGGGTCTCATCTGCTGCCTCGACGAAGTTCATCGCACAAACCAGCACAGTGGGTGTGTCTGTCACCTGTCGCATTTCACCATTGAAATATTCGTTAACGAGTGTAAGAAACGTTCTTACATCAAAAACTTCGAGCAGATGAGAACATTCCTTACTTAATCGTGTTCAGAGGCGATGAAGGAAGTTTTTGATGAAAGTAACTGAGGCGACCGTCTTCTCAGCTGGGGTTCCCTGAGACCTTCGCATCGTTCCAGAAACTTTAAACTTGGCCTTGACGTTTTGAAGTATCTGCATTAGGGTTTTTCCGCTTTCTCAATGCGTTGCTCGGCTTTTAAGAGAGATGGCAACTCGGCACGACATAGAATGTCAGAATGAAGGCACGATAAATGTCTTCCATAACTCTGATATACTTTATCAGAGCCGATATCTTGGAAATAAGCCTGACACTTTTGCTGCCTGTGTCAACGAAAAATATTGCTCCCCTCTCAGAAATTATCCCTGTTGGGTGGGACACTCTTGCTACATCGATGAACCCGTCCTCTGCTCCACTCGTACTATCACCAATGATTGTGTCCACTTTCTCGATTTCTTTCTTGCCATCTAAGACAGACGCTTCAAGAGAAAACCGTTTCAACGTGTGTGATGTGGTGTCTGTGAAAATGACTGAATGACAATTCAAACTCACTCCGTGAATTTGGCTGCACAAGGTACTTCCGTTTTAGGTTTGGAACGACCAGGCCCCCCCTTTGTTCCCTTGCTGGTCACACTTTTCTAGTTACTCTATAGAAAAACAGTAATGGCAGATTTCAACTCTTCTCAGCTATAATGTTGGCCATGTTCGTAATAAACGTGTACTTCACGTCTAGCGACAAATTTATTAAAATGGCGTGCTCGATAACCCTTCACAGGAGTACACAACAATTTTTGGACCAGCGTGTGAAATCTGATATTTTTGTACAGGCCACCTCATTTTTGAGAAACCATTTGGTTTCTTGTGAGTGTGAGGTTTCATTATTTGCATTAATAGTCTATATCTTTTCATATCTACAACGTTAGTACCCGTTTAATTTGTGCTATGTTGTACTATGTTGCACTCCTTTGCATTAGTTCTCCAGATTGTGCAATGTTTATCACTGACTGAATTTTCTGTATTCATCTGACAGCGCTTCACCAGTATCAAACACACTGGTGGTGATTCCTCTCCCAAATCGTCCCACTTCAAAAGTTGAAAAATGTGGCGATATTTTGCTCGAGAGAATTAAAGTGTATGTAATGCGTACTTTGGCAACTGCGAATATGTTAAATTACCGTGTAGAATACAGTCAGCACAGGAAATCACACCTATCGTGTAGTTCATGAATCGTTTGCTATCATTTTGTCTTTGTTGTCTATAAAATCCAATCTGATGGCTAGCCATACTGTTTGACTCCCTATCCTAATGGGAAGTGCCTTAGCCTTGTCCAAAATAAAAAATTGCATCGAAAAGTGAACCACTCCGCACTCTCCGGCGCACCCACCAGAGCGGCATTCCTTTGAAACAAGTTTGCACCACGAGGCAAAATCTTCAGTAATTTGGGATGTGCAATCGTAAGGAGCAAGAAGGTCTTCCATGAACGGATTTTTCGGGGCCACAACGAAAAATACTGAGGCCGATCAACATGGTCTTTGACGACATTTGACCTGAATGACCCTGAATTGCATTCTTTGCTGGAGATTTTCGACAGCTACAGCTTACCAGACACTGAAGTATGAGAGTACATGTCTCATGTGTCATGTTATCTCATGACCTATGACGTAATAAATTGAAGGGCTTTCCAAATTCACCGGAAGTAATGCTGTTTTTCAAGCCCGAGTCTTGCTTCCAAAATTTTCTTTTAAGCATCGGTGGATGTTAAATGGAAATTTCAAAACCTTGCTTGATAAGTGTTTTTTTTTTGACTGAATAGTACCCAGTAATATACAACAAACTATCGCCTTATTTATTTCTGCTCCCGCTTCCCGCCCTCATATAGATCCCGCTTCCCGCCCCCTGTTCTCCCGCTTCCCTCCCTCTTCCGCCCCCTGTTCTCCCGGGCTCCCGCCCCCTGTCCCCCTCCACTTTACAGCGTGAAGCAAAATCTATTCACGATGAAATTAAGTTTAATGACTGCTCTAAAACTTTTAAACAACGAAATTAATGGCAAAGAAATTAAATATCGAGATGGTAGATATGAAAATATCAATGAGCAAAATTTGCATGATGAGGTAACTCCTTGAGAGACAGTACGTGACAACAAAGCAATGCCCAGAAACAAAAAGAGAGAGCGTCAATTGCCAGTTGGGGGAAAGATGTCAGCCCGTAATTCTACTGACATTGCGCCTCAAAGAATAATAACGAGCGGACCACTCTCATTGTTGGTGACTCCATAATAAAGAATGTTCAGGGAATGAAACTAGCCTAGACTGTGGGACATCGGGTTGTTGTCAAGCCGTTCCCCGGAGCCACAATTGGCGACATGCGTTCGCATGTTGTTCCTACAATTGATAAGTCTCCTGACCAAATTTGTCGACATGTGGGCACCAACGATCTGAAATCATCTACACCGAGTGATGTGGTAGATGCTATTATAGACTTGGCCAGAGGGGTTGAGAATGCTTACGAGTCTCAAATAGTTATATCTGAACTAACTGCAAGGAATGATGATTACTGCGACGCCGTCAAAGCGGTAAACAAACGTCTAAAACAATTTTGCCAACAAAATGACTGAAACTCATCAGCCATGCTAACATCAGTTCAAAAGGACTTAACAAAGGTGGACTGCACTTAAACAGGGAAGGTAACAAACTATTGCAAAAGAACTTTGTAAATTTTATGAGATCTGATTGATTTCCTAATTCCATGAATGTCGATTATCCTCCAGTTTCTCAAACGTTGCCAGACTTTGCACACAACGAAGCTGACTCAGGTACTTCGGTTCCTTCCAATATGTCTAAATTTTCTACCAGCTAAACGTGGTTTCAAAATGGCCTTTTTGAACATTAACAGTCTCGTCAAACATGTTGACGGGTCTTTCTTGCTGAGTTTTCATTTGATATTCTGGCAATTAATGAAACCAAACTTGACGAATCCATAAAAAGTTCCGAACTCCATATACCATGCCATGAATTTATCCGTCGTGACAGAAATAGACATGGTGGAGGGGTAGGTTTTTACATTAAGTCTTCTAATTCTTATATAGTGCACTCCGGTCTAAACGTGATTAATCTTGAAAATTTAACTATAAGAAATTCGTACACCAAACTCTAAGCCATTTCTAGTAGCGACATGATACGGACCTCCCTGTTCTCCAACCGATTCAGTTATTTTCGAGTAACGAGTCATTTATAGGCAAATTAGATTCTCTCGACCTAGAGTACCATTTGTTAGGTGGCTTAAATTGTAATTTGGTCTCTCCAACACCTGATGCAAGCACTCATCGTTTACTCGAGATTTCGGATTTATATGGCCTCAAACAACTGATAAATGAACCGACGCGTGTTACAGAATCCTCATCTACACTAATTGATTTGATCTATACAAATTATGCAGACAGGGCATGCTTTTCTGGTGTCTCCCATATTGCCATCAGCGATCATAGCCTTGTCTATGTTTACCGGAAAATATCTTCTGATTTGCCATCTAAGGGACACTCTTCCATATCTTACAGAAACTTTCGAAATTTGAAATCTCTCAACAAGACTGATCGTTCAATGAATCAGAAGATCCAAATTTGGCATAGTCTAACTGGAAAAAAAATTTGTGCGCGTCGTTAACTCTCATGCTCCTTTTCGAACTAGACGTATTAAATTGAACAAAACACCCTAGTTTAATTCAGCCTCCGAGAAACGTATGCGCTGTCGCGATGCTGCTAAAAGGAAAGCGATAAAAACAACTAAAGAATCTTCAAGACAGGGGGAATTACAGAAAGCTCCGAAATCGAATCAAGAATAAAGGGAAAACCACTAAAGCATCCTATGATCGCAATAGCTTTATTCAATCCAAAGGAAGTGCTCGAAGGACTTGGAAGACTATAAACAACCACATGTCTCGTCGTCAGAACAATCAGATTGTAGAAGATGTGAAAGTATATGACATCTCTATCTGTAACTCTAACGAGATTTCCAACGCCTTTAACGAACACTTTTCAACTATTGGGCCCAGGCTAGCCCGTGAAATACCCTTAACTTCGACCGAGGAGTCTATTTATTTAGAAAATATTACTGAAAATTACAACAAAGTTTGTTTTCGTTCAACAACTACCAGTGATGTCTTTACCCATCTAAAAAGATTGTCAAAAACTAAAGCTACAGGACTAGATAATATCTCTGCTAGGTTGATTCGTGATTGTGCTGATGTTATTTCATGCCCGCTATCTATTTAATAAATCCCAGATGTCTGGCATATTTCCTGACGACTGGAAATGTGCCAGAGTGACTCCGTTGTTTAAACAGGGCGAGTCATCTGACTTAAACAACTACCGACCTATCTCAGTCATTTCCGTAGTCGCCAAAGTGTTCGGGAGGATTGTTTACGATCAGTTATACAACCTCTTAAATAGTGAAGAAATCATCTCTAAACAACAATCTGGTTTCCTGGTCTCTGCACTCAACTGTTACTGCACTTCTAGAAGCCACTGACAGTTGGGCGTTTAATATCGATCGTGGCTACGTCAATGCCGTAGTGTTTCTAGAATTAAAAAAGGCATTCAACACTGTTGATCATGAGATATTACTAACCAAAATGAATCGGTGTGGAATTCAAGGTAAAACTCTTGATTGGTTTAAATCGTATTTGACAAATCATACACAACAGTGTTCAGTTAAATGTTGTCTCCCTGACTTCACCACTCTTAAATGTGGTGTGCCACAGGGAACGATCCTTGGCCCTCTTTTCTTTCTAATTTATGTTAACGATTTGCCTAACTGTCTTTCGTTCAGCATACCCACATTACGCCCACATTACTTATGCTGGTTCTGATTTGCATTTGATTCAGTCTAGTCTATCTCACGACCTTGAAAAGCTGAGCAAATGGCTTGTGTCTAACAGACTTATCTTGAACGAAAACTGAATTTATGTTGACCAGCTCCAGGCAAAGATTAAGTACTCTATCTGATACACTCGAACTCTCCATTAATAATATTCCGATTGAACAAGTTTCCTCTGTGAAATCACTTGGAATATATATCGATGGAGATTTAACACGACAGTCCCACATTGATAAACTGTATAAAAAGATCGCTTCTGCCATAAAGCGAGTTAAGCCATTTGTGCCTCAATCCACCCTACTCAATATACACAACTCACTAGTTCAATCTCACTTTGATTACTGCAGCCTAGTCTGGGGTAATTGTGGCAAAACATTATCTAACAAGCTACAAAAACTACAAAACCGCGCTGCACGAGTAATAACTTCATCAATCTATGACATAGATGTCGATTCTTTGTTTCACAAACTCAGCTGGAAAGACTTGAAATCTAAACGTCAAATTCAGAACGCCTTAATGGTTTTCAAGTCTCTAAACGGGCTGGTTCCCGAATATCTCACGTCTAAATTTATAAAGCGAAATAAATCAAACTATTCTCTGAGGGACTCGGTAAGCAAACTTGTTGTCCCCTTTCCAAGAACTAATTACTCGCACTTACTCCAAAGAGGTCGAGGTTTTCTTTCCAAATTTTGAATTCGAACTTCTTTTGCTTCTCGGTGTCGCTCGATTCTTTGATGAAGATGTATCTGATCTTGTAGTCAACATCCACGAGCTCGGGTAATTCCTGCAGTTCTCTCCTCGTGAGGACTCGGTAGTTCTTTATATTCCTTTCCACTGCAATCACAAGAAACATATAACGACTTATCTTGCTCTCAACATTGGAGTTTCTCTTCTCTTATTCGACTATTTTTAACAGTAATTTTAAAAAAATTACATATCTTTAAAAATGAAGGAAACATATTTTGTCAGCGAAGAAATCTGCAGAAAGATATACGAGATGATTTTTGGTGAAAATGTTCGGAAAGGGAGACCGTCGTGGTTGAGGAATCACGATACTGTACTGGTTTTATCGAACTTGATGAAGGATTTTGTAAAAGTTTGGGACTAGCATTTGAATATAACGAAATTTTTAATATACGAATCCACTTCACAAATCAAGATGAGAATTCGAACAACAGAGAAAGAGAGACGAGATGAAGAGTGAGAAGTGTAAGATGCATGGGGTGACTCTGATAAGAATGAATGAGTTGCCAGTAATCGGATTTCTTTGCTATGCGCAAAGGGCTCTGGGATCAGCACGAGACAAACGACGCAAATTGCTACAATGAAACGTACGGCGAAAAGTTGCTTTGGTGTTCAAAAAAAACGATTTTTTGATAGAATTCAGCGCTTTTTTGCAGCCGTTTTATCAGAAAAGGATTAAACCAATGTTGATACGTGAGGAGTGTAGGTTTTTGTTAAAACAACCGTGAAATATGTATTAATATCTACCGATAAAGTTCCCTCCTTGCGGTTGGGGTCATTGTGAAATCGACATCTCGTAATGGTCTTGATATATCTGGAAATTAAGTAATAATCGCGGGTATACAACCCATTCAAGCTTTTACAGCTGTAAACAAGTGTGTAAAGTCTACTTTTGGCTCATTTCTAAGCTCGTTAACACAAATATTATTGGAAATATGCCTCGTGGGGATTGCTGTGCTGTGTGGGCTTATAACAACGATTGTAGGTACCTAGAAAAGCAAAATATTCTTCCTCTTGTTGGAATATTGAGATTGGCCCCGCCAAGAGTAAGAGGATCAAGTCGTGTGGCGTCACTAAGAACTCATGCTCAAAGAAACATTTTGAAAGTCAAGCAATTTAGGATTCTTTCAGGAGTTATTTGTTAAAGAGACTAGCCAGAAGGCTCATTTTGATTCAATTGATTATTGATTAGTTTAATAATTTCAGAACGATCCTAGATACGAACATAGTTTGTCTTTATTTTTATTGGTTTTGTAATAGGACCTTTCAGCGTCACCACGCGCATATAAAGGCAAGTTTAGCGCCTTTGTGATCAGTTCTTCGTAAGTTTTTGAGAAGTCTTAGTGAACTTTCGTCTTTTCGTCTCTTAAACCTTTGGCACAATGTATAAGTAGCTTTGTAACTTTGTTTTTCTTAGTTTAGTTTTCCAGCATTGGGCGAAAGTATACAAACAGATATTTTGTTGTATTGCCGTATTTTCAATTGATTCGAGATTTAAAGGCCGAATTGTATCTGATGCAAGTGAACACCCACCCACCAATTTCTTGTAATTTTTTTCTTGTAATAAGAACAATGGGCAACCAGCCCCCACATTCTTTTAATTTTTGTATCGATTAACGTAGTTTGTGTTGGATCATTTGTATTGTTCATTTTAATTTCGTTATCGGCATTAAGACCCAGCTTTTAACACGCGATTTTGATTATGTATTTCGCAACATCTCATCTGATTAATGAAACTTCGTTGTACTATTGTTTCCTTTTACGATCGATCGATCGATTGTTTGATTGATTGATTGATTGTGGATTGATTGTGATTTTGATCGTTGATTGTGGTGCGTGGTTGATTGCTTGCAAGATTAAAGATTGGTGTAAACGGTCAACTTTGGTCTGTCATTCTTCGATCTCGATCTGTAAAATAGTCCCTAAACACCTCGTTAACCTCGTCTTGGAGCGACACTCCTTGGAATCATGTGAATTAGATTTTCTGTTCGCCGCAAGCGCACATTATTCCTCTTTTGTTGTTTGTGCTTCCTTAACTAGTTTTTGTCGAAGAAGCGTAAGGTAAGGAACACACTGTAGAAGCAAAAACTTCTATTTACTGAGTTCGGTGATATTTCTGACTTTGGGATAACTGTCCTGTGTGAAAATTGTCCCTAGGTAAGGGTTCAACTAGGAAAGAAGGAACTATTTGCTGACAGTAAAACTTATAAATTGTTGCAACAACAGTTTCCCCAAATTTATCATTAAAATTAATTGTGATAATAAATATCCCTTTACTTATATATGTAGCAAAATCGCACGTCAAGTTTTTAAACATCAAACTGCCATGCCAGTCTGAACTTGGAAATAATGTGGATAATATGTGTCAAGAAAGAAATTCCCATTATTTTCGTCTTTTTTTCCACCAACATTTGGTTGCAGCAAAAGAATGTTAAGGTCAAGGTCCTTCCCTTTAAATGGACATTTTATCTCTGTTACTGTAGGGTCACAACGCTGGCATTTTCTAATACCATCCACACTATCCTATCCAAGAATAACTGCTTACTAATATAACTACTACTAATAATGCAACTAAAATTTTTTCATCATAGTTTGGGGAAAATGGTAAAAAAATCAGGAATACCAGAACAGGGATTTCTTTTCAAAATCAATTTTTTCTATGTGAGTTGTTTCCTTTCTACCTTTCATGGGATTAGTAGACGTAGCTAAATTTAGCTGTTTCACAGAAGAGTTTGTTTTGTTTGGCACTGGTAGCTTCTGGAGATTGATTTGGCTTTATCACAGTTGTTTTAGAGCACGAAGACAATATTTTTTAATTAAAGAAGATCTCTTTCTCTGAACAACACAACAGGCCGAATGGGAGTTTCATCGATTTTAAGAGAAATGCTGATTGGATATTGATAAAGTGAGGTCGCTAAATGGTTGAATTCCTGGTTTTCTCAAGAGCAGTCGAT